TTCAATAGTATTAATTCAATGTTTTGGCACAGCATAATAAATAGCACTGGACTGCCAAAAGCTGAACTTCTTTTCCAGTTGAAATTAATATGACTCTCTGGATGCACACATGTTTGTGGAGACAAAAATAATGTATGTGCCAGATTCTGCATTCCACTGAGGGGATGGAATCTCCATCTCTCACCAGCAGGGATGGCATTCCAGTCCAAAGAAATGAGATTTATTTCCACCTACTCAAGCATCAATATGTATAAAATAAAGATTTTAGTCTAGAATAATAACCTTTGAATAACCCCTGAAATATGGGTGGAAAAGAAGTATTTGATGCATAGAATGACTTGTTAAAAGTTAAACTTGTTTACAAATCAGGTAAAGTAAGAAAAATAATTCCTAAAATATTTGCGAAATTGACAAATCAAAAAGTGTGTTAGCATAATGAAAAATTAAAATTATCTCAAGAGAGATCATTGTAGGTGTGGCCATTAAAATGGTATTAGTTTAGGAAAAAATTGATAATTTTAATTCAGAAAAATGATACATATATATGATAAACAGATACAGAGGCAGCCATGAAAGTCTTCACCTTCACCATGGTGTGCTTCAAAATAAATCACTGCAAACTGCTTTCCACCTGACCAACAGATTCCTACTGCTGTTGTAATTTTCTTAGGGAGATGCCTAATAAAGAATTATGTTAGAAAAATGATGGGGGGGGAAATTGTTTGGTAGCTGTATCCCATATGTTATTAAAAACAAAACAAAAAAAACAACTAAATATAAAAATAAATTAAATTCCTGCAGTTGTAAACATGTTGACCATGGTGACTTTATTGTGCCTTCTGGTGGAAAACCCACCCTGCCTGGATTGTGGCTTTGCAGAAACTTCAGACAAAGTTTCTGATCTTTATTTCTCCTTGAAATTTCTCCCCAGCACAAGGCCTTATTTCACAAGTTGAATGCCTGTGAATTAACAGTACTTTTAATTACTTGAGATACAATCTCTATCAGAGCATTCTTTTCATTTCCCATTCATTTTTCATCCTTTCATTATCAGTCTTTCTTCCCTGTTTATATTTTAATTCGTGCAGATTTTAACAATATACTGACTCCAATACTGTCTTAATGAAATTAAATTTACTTGCAGATTTGAACAGTAATCCATGTTGACCTCAAAAATATTCCTTTTTCTTGCTTCCAGTATGCTTTACTCTCTATCAAAAAGTTCTTTTTCCCAGACTCTGCTACTTCTGCAGATTCAGCCTCTCTGCAACAAGTCCTCCGATAGATATCCCAATTAATATTTCAACTTCAATAAAGTTACGGTCCAAATCCAAGTGGCCCACAATTTTTAGTCCCTAAATGTTATTTAGGTCACTTCAAATAAATAATTGCAGAGCAGTTTCTGACCACCCTAGCAAGAAAGGACTTTGATGTTCCAGATTGGATTTTTTCCCCAGAGCCATCATTCCCAATTTTCTTCATAATTAAAGCACAACTCAAAAATGTCTTTCCAGAATGGTCAAAGAACTGAAGCTGAAAGTAAAGCTCACCTGTGACTTTGCATTTCATAGCACACAAATTCACCCCTCAGCAAGTCCCAGATTGTGCCTGGACTTTCTTTCCTACAGAGAAAGTTCCTCTCAATTTTTGCACTCTGATTTTACCCTTTCATAAAGGAGATTATTTTAACATTTGAAATTATTTAACTTACGGGTAAAATACATTCACTTCTATATCACCATATTGCATGGGAGTATTGAGTTCTCTTATTCTTCCCTTTTTGCGTTTCTTACATTTTTTTCTTTCTCATGGCAAGTCATCTTCCAGTGTGGAATCTTTTCTATCCAGGATTCTCACATTGATTTCCTACCTGAATTCATCTTGCTTTCAAAAGAAAAGTGGATATAAAACTCATGTCAGGGGCTGATGCACAACATAACAAACCTTCCCTACCTTTAATAATTTGCATTTGGAATCTGGCTAATAGGTGGTTTGGGAATGGGAATGAAAAGTGGGAATGTCCTCCTTTAGTTTTAGTTTCTTCTTGAATTAGAACCTTCTTTACAGGTCAGCATTTGGTTCTGGAGGGGCTCTCCAGTGCTTGCATCCCTGGGACAGCAGTCAAGGCACCATTCTTGGTGTGACCCCACCAAAACCCCACCAAAACCCCGGTGCCCGTCCCACAGCAGCAGTGGCCCTCAGAGCCTCAGGAAAGGCACGTTCCAGTGTGTGCCAAGGGCTGGAGCTCAGGCAGTGACATTTCCCCAGGGTTCCCGGAGCAGCAGAGCTGTTCTGCAGGAAAATCCCCGCCCAGAGGGAATTCCTGACCACCCCTGAGCTTTCCTGGGAGCTTTCTCCAGGAAAGATTTCTCCTCTTCCAACCCTGCAGATCCTGCTGAGGCTGCCTGGGAGAAATGGGTCATGAACTTGGGCACTGCCCACTGCCAACCAGAAAAATCAATCCAGAAATCCATTCACGGAAAAAAAAAACCAAACAATTTTCATTGACTGGGAATGCACCAGGATGAACAGAGGGAGGCACAGAGCAGAGTGCTGGTGGTGCCTCCCCTCCACAGGTGGCATTTTAATACCAGATTGTTGGAATTGGCGCTTCCCCACTCTTTTTTTGTTCTATTAAAAATGTTGAAAATAAAATTCAAGCATTTGTATTTATGAATGCACAAGCAGAGCTTGTGCTCTGCACCCTGTCCATATTTCCAACTCACACAGAGGGCATTAAAGTACTGATTCCTGACTGCCTGGGGCTCTGTTTTACCTGCCCATAAACTGTATTAAATTTGCTTATAATGCAATTCAGAGAATCAGGAGCAAAATTATATGTGCCTTAAGACATTCTGATTTCAATAATTTCCTATATGTTAACTCCTGTTAAGTAGCATAAACAAAATAGAGATACTCAATATCCCCTTTAAAAACTATATTTAAAATAAGATATTTCCTCAGGTTTCTGGACTAGCTGTTCTAAAAATCCGTATCAGTGAGCAATTCCAAGCCACATTTTTTCTGGTCACTTGGCAGCAGTCAGACATTAGTGCAACAATCTATTAATTTTTCAAGAGTTAGCACAGAATAAGAATACAATGGTGGTATTTTAGAAATGTATTTCAGCTCATAAAGGCAGCATTAGCTCTCCTCTCATTCAATTATTGCCATTATTTAAAATAATTAAAACTAGATTCTTAATAATGCTTTTTGATTACATGGATCCAAATACTAATAAATGAGTACAGATTTAAAATAGATTTTATACGGAGTCTGGTAAAACTTTTCTGTGATCCTGCAAGAATTGAAGATGATGTACAGAGAGCCAAGGAGAAATGTCAGAGGCAGGAGAACACCCCCAGGAGCAGAGCTGCAGGCAGCAGAAAGGCAAAGGGAACAGGCAGGGAGAGAAACATTTAGAAGCAGGGAAAAAAAAAAAAAAAAAAAAAAAAAAAAAAAAGAAAAAAAAAAAAAAAAAAAAAAAAAAAAAAAGAAAAAGGCATTTTAGAGTCAGAGTGAAAAAGGAAGAGAAAGGGCAGAAAGGCAGGAGGCAAAATAAATGATACCAGGAGCTGGAAAATCCCCATCCTGCCTCAAAAGGAAAAGTAAGGTCATGAGACAGCACAGCGAGAGCTGCACCATTGACCAGCAGCCAGAGGTACATTTTCTGTGCTTAGAAAAGAAACAAAAGATCACAATAAAAGAGTCAGCAGGGTCCTCCTGGGGACACACTGGGCTGAAGGAGATTTTTTCCCAGAGGGGGCTGCTGTGTCCCGAGGAGTGGCCGGGCACTCGCGCTGTGCTCGGTGGCACAGCGTGACACCAGGGCTGTGCTGGCTCCTGGGCTGTGGGACACCAGGTGTCCAGGGAAAAACTCCCAGTTTGGGCTCAGCTGCTCCCAACAGGCTCTGGCTGTTGGGTTCTGCAGCACACACCTGCCCCTAAAGCAGCATCTTTCATTTGGAGGGGCAGATCTCAAGGCACACCGAGGGTATTTTGTCATTTGAGGTACAGGAAAGAAGATGAGTAATAGGAGTGACTTAAAAATAGGGGGTTTTCTTCCCCAGATCAAGTGCATTTTACCTCACTTTTTTTCTATCTTACTTCTAAGTGCGAGTTTTCCTCTTGGAAACAATTTCTCTTTATCAAGTTCCCACAGGATAACCCAGTTATTCAAAAGCAGAACTCCTGATAAAGAAGTAAAATACTATGATTGTCATGTGTAATTTACCTATGTAATTTTACTGTTTTGTATTTTAATATTTTCAATATTCTTTCACCTGTCCACCTACAAGAACAGAAGTTATTTTGTCTTTAGAATTAAGTGACTACATCACATTTTATTAACTGGTAGTAATAAAATAGCAGAGGAAAAAATAATTTTTTGCTATCAAATACTTTGTTAAGAGGTTGACCAAATTAGTAACCTAGTAATTAATAATATGAACAAATAATGTCCTTACAAATGCTTGCAGCTTGCTGAAAAACCCAAACCCAACTTTTAGTTGACACATGTGTCTGTAGTTTGGATAAAGTCAATTTTACCACTCCAGTCTCATCTTAAAGCTCATTTTAAACAATCTTCCAGTCTAATTAGCATTACCTTCTGGCTGTGTAGTACCATCCCTCTGAACGCTGGCATGGTTAAACCACTCAGGTCTACTTGGTTCAGTGCAGTGTGGCAAATGTCAGTGAAATACGAGGGCATATGGCACATAATTACAGGACCATATGGATGCCAGGAGTGATAGTCAGCAGCATTTGAATGCAGGACCAAGAAAGTCAGAGGAAAAGCAATCAAAGACCATCAGACATAATCATTAAATGGATAAATATAGTTTCTGTGCAGCTGAGAGAAGCCAGGACATGTCTGTCCTTTACTGAAGCAAAGGCTGTTTGAGCATGTGGCTGTAGAGGAATCTCTGTATTGTTTTCAGTTTGGTTTGTAAATTTGGAAATAGAGCTGATCAAGGTGAGTGATGCAAGGAATCACTTACCAATGCACAGAGCAGATCAACTGCTTCCAGGATCAGCTCCTGGTGGCCAATGCGAGTCACCCCCAGCTCCTCCAGCTCCTGGTGAGTGATGTGCAGCAGCTGCTCCCCATTGATCTTCTCTCTCTCAAAGTTTTTGATGTATTGTTGGAGGCAATCATCGAGACCTGGGTAGAAAAGCCAAGAGCACAGATTCAGAGAGAGGAGAAAAACCCAATGAAACAGTTCTGTAGCTCAGGAATACAGGAATTTCTTGGGAATGCAAGCACTCTTCCTTGTTTGGGGCTGTTATGGAAAGCGTGCAATGAAAATTATAATTTAACTTACATAACCCAGCACATGCTGCTAAAGAGAGAGTTTTATATTACTGGTGTTACTTTCAACATTGTTAAACATTTTAATAGTAATTCAAAACCTTCATGGAGACAAGGGAAGGACAAAGCAGCACAGAGAGTGACATTATAAAATCCTTTTTCTCGTGATGTCACAAAGACCTAAATATAAGTTTATCTTATGATTATGAACAAATTCTTACTGTAACTCTTCTTGGACTCTTCAAGGTCAGAGTTTGGCTGTCCCTGATCAGGAAGAGTTTCTCAGGCTCAGTACCCGCCCACACTAACTCTGCTATACCCACTGCCAATTCTCACCCCAGATTTTCCAGATTTCTGAATCCAAACAACACAAAAATGGTTTTGTTACAACACCTCCAACTAAGAATACAATTTTACCCATGCACAAGGAATTGTTCCATTTCACCCTGAAACTTGATAGAGTGAGAATAAGAGATTTTGTTTCTCAGACCAGAGAAGAAACTATTGATGTGGAAAGATTTTTTTTCTTTCTCCAAATTTGTTTCTGAACCACACAAACCTTGACTTTCCAGCCAGAACAATGAGTTGAACACAGGGATCTACTGCTGAAAGCTACATGAGGTCTCTCAGAGGTCCCTCAAGGACTGGCAGATTCAACAGAAGCCTGATGTGCACATGATTTTCTAGAGACCTACAAAAAGCACCTTCAATAACTTCATCTGCCAAGGAAAGTAAAACAGTGAATCTCAGTTATTTGCCCTGCAGTGATTCAGGTAAATCCAAAATCCATAAAATTACAGAGATCCAGAAATCACAGAATTGACCAACTTGGGCATTTATGACAGAGCTTTGAAATGTAATTTCTGCACACAGCCATGACCAAATAGACATCAAGTCTGCAGAGCATCTGAGGAAAAGGGTTCTGACACCTTGTATGGGTGTGCTGGGTGCCCCCACTTTACACCCCAATTAACACAGCTCAGTTGGGACAAAATGATTGCAATGACAATGGAATGGAACAAACCAAAGTGTTTGTCCTCACTCTGTAAATACAACATTGCAGTTTCATTTAATTAACTCTTCTTTCAACATGATCCAATTACGTGCTCTGTAAACTGATAGTCCTAAGATATGTTATAGATAAAGCTCATTTACCAAGTCAAGTGAACATTTTTATATTCACTTACACCTATGTCCCATACAAAGCTAGTACAGTGATAAAAATGTCATATTTTATGGTGTAATTAAAAAGTATGACGTTGTTTGGGAGATTTTTAAAGCTCAAATCAGCAGTCTGTAACTAATACCTAAACCTTTTCTCTATTCTAGAATGGTTTGCAAATAGGAAACAACTTCTCTGCATCTGTTCATTATTTTTAATGCGCTCATGAATGATTTTACATAAGTATAGTTCAGTTCAATTGGCTGAATCGCTGCAAATTCTCTGTTTATTATTTAATATTTTCAACTCCAAGCTGTTGCAACATTTCTGTTCCCTCTTGCTCAAGAACAATTCTTAAAACCATTTTAGAGCAAAAATTCCAAACCCCACACCTCCCAGATTTGCTTTTAGTGAACATTGCCCCATATCTCAGAAAAAAGTCACAAAACTGCTACTAGATATTAAGTTATTTTCAACAAAAGCAAATTAATTAAAACATTTAGGATCAGTGGCTCCAACAAGCATTTGTAGCATTAAGAGAGATTTAGGAAAACCCAAGTGAATGTGCCATGCTGTGAGAAGTGTGCAGTCAGATGTATTAAACCTGCCTTTGTGCCAGGGAGAATGTATGACAGCAGAGCAAAATATCAAATTTGTATTATTTGTGCTGCTCTGTAATAGCTCCCCAGGGCACCTTTACAAGGCATTTACTTACTGGTGCAAACAGTGTGGCAGTTGACAAGAGAATATAGAAATATATCATTAAAGGGCCAGGCTGTCTCACAGAATGACAACACTTAATAAATACACACCAAAAAAGAGAGATTTGCCCATTGCTTTCTGCTTTTCTGTCTCTCTGGGAGCCAGGTGCCAAAATGTGAAACATTCCAAAGCAGGAATTCAGCATCAGGAAAATCTTCTTTATTGTCAGGGCTCCAGTTGATTTTACATGAAAACATCCCAGATGAAATTAGAAAGGGTACAGAACGAGCTCGTGTTGACTCACTCAAACCAAATGAAATATTTATTTCCTCAAGCCTCTTAGGTCTCATTAATGCTCTTTATGCATTTTCCTCCAACATCATTTCTGTTTATATATAACTATTAAAGCAGTTCAGATTCATAACTGAAGAAATAAGGGGTTTTAGCTCTGCTTAGATGTAGGTAAATAAAATTAACCCACGGGTCCCAAGATACACAACATCAGTGTCAGGCAAGAAACACAGAAATTTGCAGCTCTCTTGCTGCACATTCTTATTTTATTTGTGTGCATTTTGGAACTAACCAACATCTCCTTCAGAGTGCAATGAAATGATTGGAGAAAAATTGTTTAAATATGGATGTTTTACTTTAAAGCCAAGCCTTAATGCCCAAGACGAGAAAACGAGGGTTGGAAGTTGGAGAATTTTTATTTCTCCAACCCATATGGGCCCAAGGAGTTAACTCACTTTAACAGAAAATCAATGAAGGTTGAAGACATTTACTAATCTCTCAGTGTTATTTGAGAGGACAAGAAAAAAGGAGTTATCCATCAGCCCAAGTGCTGACTGAGTCAGCTGGAAACAGCTCTGGGTGAATGTTGCATTAAAAGCTGTATAAACCCTTGTGCTCAGAAAATGGCCTTGTGGAGGGAAATCAGGGAAAATATCCCATAAACCTCATCCACCTGAAAACTCAGACATTTTTCTGCTGTGTGGTTGGATGCCATCTCAAAGGTCTTCTCCAACCTAAAAAATTCTGAGTCCATAGTCTCTCTTTCCATTTTGAAGTTAAAAAACCCCATATGGAATCCATATGGACTAGGAAAATTTTATCTCCATATTCAAAGAGTAGGGGAAAAGGAAGCAACTCTGATCCGTTGACTGCAAACTGTTATTTTGCAAATAGAGCATCTAAAGTCAAAATCAAGGAAACGTGAATATAAAGGAGGTATAAAATAGAAAATCATTAGGGAGAAAGGGCAGGAAAAGAGGCAGTCAGCTTGAAAAAGTTTATTTTTAGAAATGCATAATTAAGAAAAAAGGAATAGTTGAAACAGAAAACAAAGCAAAGTCTTTAAAATCTCTCTAAATCTGATTTAGGCAGTAACTCAGAGGAAACATTACAGAAGAGATGCCACATATTGTGAGCAATAAGGTTCACTGAGATTAAAATGAATCTTCCCATCCGTGTCAACAAATGGCAGGTTTGGTTTCCATTAGAAGCACAAACATTGTTGTCATGTTATGTAAACATGTGTCCCTTCCCCTCTACTGTTGGACAGATATATTGAAAATATTACCATTATTGAAAAAATGACTTTAAAATTAATGAAGGGAAAACCCAAGTTGTTGCCTTATATGCAGGAATGGTGCAGCCAGGACAGCTCTCACAGGAGAACTGCAGGAGCAATAACTCTTTCAGGTGTGATCCATCCCAGAAGGAATTCTTATGTTTAAAATCTGTAATTTCCAATTTTTCATAGATCTCTCCATCACTTACTCGCTTCTCTTTTTCCCTGTATTTTATGGGATTTTTGCAACTCATTGAAAACTATGCTGGGTTTTTAATCTCCCCTAAAAATTCCTGCCCAAACAATGAGCTTGCTGCTGCTCCAGGAGAATTCCCAGGGGGAAATGCAGCAGCTGGCTGGAGCAGCAGAGCCTGGCTGTGAGAGGAGGGGCAGGGGCAGGGCAGGGCAGGTCCTGCCAGCTCTGCCTGGCACAGACACAGCAGCTCCCACAGGGGCACTCCCTGGCAGAGCAGGGGATGCAAAACCAGCCCCTCTGGTAGGAAAACGCAGTTGGTTTTAGGGTGAAAAAGAAGGAAATCAGCTCGGTGGGAATTCATTGACCATTCCTGGTTTCAGCGCTGCTGCAAGAGGGGTGAGATCCTCCCTCTGATTGAGAGTCTGATAAAATATTCAGTGGTTCTCCTGATTAAAACCATATCTATAAATTAAAAACACACAGCACAACACTGAACTCCCATTTGCACAACGGACTATAAATAAATATAGTATATAATCTGAATATAATATAGAATCAATATAATAAAGAACCTGAGGTAGAAGTGTCTGTGGGACCTGGATGCAAAGAAGAAAAGCTTAAACTTGATGGGATGATCTGTTTGCACAGAAGAATTACACTTTGGCCTGCCAAGACAAATTAATAACCTATTAATGTGCCTCATTTGACTATTAAAAGCTGGAAAGCAACACTATCTCTGCTCTTGCAGAATGGTGACTTGTGAAAAATCAAGAGATCACAGTGAAACAGGGACACATACCAATTTTCTAATGTTGTACTGTTGTTTCTGGTCTTGCAGGTCTAGAAAATCAGCTCATCACTCATAGGAAATGTAAAATCTCTCACTACTGTGCTGGAAATTCTCCGATTAATTGGGGAAGGCAGCATGAACTTCTGCTCCTGTCACAACCTTAATTTTATATATGCAGATCTGCTTAAATACATCCAGTATTTAACAGCATCCACTGGCTCAGTCCAAGTGTAGTTTTTACAGAAAGAAAAAAAATAAAAGGATATTTTCCATATAAAGCAATTTTTAGCAGCCAGCTCGAAAGATCTGGAAGGAATTGACTGGGTGGCTGACTGAGAGAGTGGAGAGAATTCATGCCTTTTCCTAAATGCAATTTTATCGAATCCACACATCAATTCAGCCATGTTCTTGATCAAAACCCCTTTGATTTATT